GTTTGCGGCCATCTCCATTATGCAAAGCATTTTATACATACTATATCTGTGAGTGTGTTTTTGTCTTTTACACCTTTGAATAAATCTTGGATAATGCACTAGATGTTTGCGCCACCTGTCTGCTCTTTTCCCTATGGTCAGCTTGTACAATAAACTGTAATGTAGATATATCCCAACGACGGCAGCTGCAAAAACTAGGCCGCAAACCGGGGCAACTATATGTAATGTTCACAACTATGTGTAGGTAGATTGCTGAGGTGGCAAACTGTCAGTATTCACGTAGTTAGTGGGTGCATTGGTCTCTCTCACCCGATCAAAGTAATCCAGCAGATCGTAGCAGTCTGACTTTATCTGTAAACGGAGTCAGTCCAAGGACTGTCCAGCTCAGACTCGCGTCCCGTCTGGTATCCTGCTGTCAGAATGGCCTGCCGGGCAGTGTGGCAGATTGGGCGGTCAGTAGTTTTTTTCCAGCTTTCCTCTCTCTCCAACCCTGGCTCCGCGGTCTAGTTCAACACTTAAGCCATCAGCACACTTCCTTTTCCTTCAGTCTCTTGCTGCACTCTCCTGGCCAATCTCCCAAGCGTTATTTATATTCCCCCTCCGACACACTACCCCTCTTGGGAAATGTAGTCCCTGATTGCCTGCTCACCAGCTGAGCTCAGCATACAAGTTCCAGAGAGCTGTTCTGTCCATGTGAGTGACCCTGAATGGCAGACCACCACCATCTAATGTCCATTTTAATGTATTGTGAGTAATAACCTTTCAATGTGTTACACATCAAATGGTTAGAAGAAGATGGTCAAATCTAAATGGGTTGACATACGTTGTCCAGGGATGCCAAACTCAAAGGAATTTGTATTGAGAGTCTGTTAGTATAGCTGTCATTTTTTTATTAACATTACATAATTTGCTCGGTTCTTCACCGCTGTGAAACTGAGAACGGGGGATTTCCACACCCTAGCTATAGTAAGCTTGTAAAGATGTTTGCAGCAAGCATGGCGGGTTCAGAATGGAGGAGAAATCATTGCAATATTTTTACCATGGCTTAAAGGATAAGTTCACCTTTGGGAACATGCTACATGTTCCACCCGTTTTTATGGTGAAACATGTAATATGTTCCCAATCCCAGAGCCACTGCCTGCTCCGTGACATCTAGTGACAGGTAGCGAGGGATCTTCTCCCCTCGTTAGCTGTCATTATATAAAGGGAAAAAATTGTGGCCATGCAGGGCTCTTTGCAGCTGTTGGCTTATAGTTCTCTGTGAACTTCAACATGCTGTTGAGCGCTTTAGTAGTTCATTGATTCTTCCTGCCAGTGTGTATCTGCTTGCCTGTATTAGTACAAGGAGACAGATACACTGACAAGTCTGCAGGAGACCTGCATGGCACCCGCTATCTACCGATCACGGGTGCAATGCTTTCTTTTTTTTTTTTTTTTTTTTTTTTATCTGCAAAAAAATGTGCTATTTATTTTATTTTTTTGAAAAGGTGAATGTATCCTTTTAATATATTTTGAAAATTGTATTGAATCCATAAGCAAGAGTAAGGTTATCATGATGTAATCCTTGCTGGAAGACGCTGTTGGTTTTTTTTTGTTTGGTTTTTTTTGCATTGAAGGGATCTAACAAGCAACTATATATTAGATGGATTGGTTTCTCTATATATTACCCAAGGGTAAACCAATAATTTTTGTTCCCTCCATGCTTCATTACTCATTACCATATGCCACTAGAAGCTGAATTTAACATTTCAGCTGTTTGTGCAAGGGCTGATGGCAGTTAGTGAGCAAGTGTTGAAAGTAGCTATACACAGAACAATTAAAAGACCATTTCAATGAAAGACTGATTCAGTTGTTGGCAACTATTGATGAGTTGAATCATTTAAAGTGGAACTAAAATCTTCTGGAATGAGCTTGCTTTATGGCATACTTGCATATGAGAGTGCCTTTATCCAGCGCTAACAGATTCAGGCTCACAGTTGCTATTCCACCCCATGCCATCTTTACCACTTTTTCTTGGTCCCATCACTTCTTCTCCTGATGGGCAGCCACTGTTGATGCAACTCCTGTGCATATACACACAGGAGTTATATAGTTCTCTACAACTGGCTTCAGGTGCCGGGAATATACATTGCACGGCTCATGGACTGTACAATGTATGCTGCAAATGAACTAGAGAAAAGGAGGATGGAACTCCTTACTCCAAAGTAACAGCCCAGATGTAAAGAAGAGTAAAAGCGGCTTCAGCCCAACTTCTTTGCAATCACATCCTCCGTTCTTTAGTTCTGCCCACAGGGCTTAGTCCCCTATGATGCTGAACGCATCGAGGGGCCTGATCTGGGAGGAGTAGGGCTGAAGCCACTTTTACTCTTCTTTACTTCTGGGCTGTCCCTTTTTGGAGTGTGGTGTTCCATGCTGTGTGTGTGTGTATACAGAGCTGGGAGGGGCTCCCATAATGCCGACACCTACAATCCATGTGGGTCACCGCAGTATCACAGGATGACTACTTGGAGTGGCACCCGACATCTATATGGTTCTTGATCATATAGAAAAGAGGGAGAAGTGTTTTTGCCAGAATAAAATTTCATGTCCAGAATACACTAAGCTAGCTTAAGACCAGTAAAACAAGAAATTGTTATGTGCAGATGATTCTTACAGGAGGGCTTTTGCTTCAGGTGCTTGAGGTTGTGTGCCTTTTGGCTCCAGTGATGGAAATCTATCCTGGGTGGGTGAAGTTAGGTGATCTGGTATTCACATAATACTGAAAAAGTCTCAGAAACATAGATGAACCACCTAGTCAGCATCCAGGCACAGCTGAAATATTCCGTTTTTTAGGGCTAGTTCACACTAGATGCAGTTCAGTGCGCTTTTTTTCTGCATCAAAAATGCATGCACAGTGTCTTCCATGTATTCCAATGGCCATAGTTCACATAAGTGCAGTCAGTTTCCGGCGCAGAAAAAAAAGTTAAAACGTGCTGCATTTTTTTTTCTGCACTAAACCATACTGGAACATGGCAAACTGCACCGGAACTGTGTGTGGTGTGAAATGTAAGCAAAAACTTATCCAGAGTGCATTTTTGTAGTGTGAACTGGTCCTTACTGGATTAACCCTTTCAAGATAGGCTTGGAGATTTTTACTAAATACATGTGGACCTCCTGGAATTGTCCTATACCTAGAAATCTTTAAGGGTATGAGGAAAGATTAGAGGAACTGAATTTATTCTCTCTTGAGAAGAGGAGATTAAGGGGGGATATGATCTCCATGTATAATACATAAGGGGGGATATGATCTCCATGTATAATACATAAGGGGGGATATGATCTCCATGTATAATACATAAGGGGGGATATGATCTCCCATGTATAATACATAAGGGGGGATATGATCTCCCATGTATAATACATAAGGGGGGGATATGATCTCCCATGTATAATACATAAGGGGGGATATGATCTCCCATGTATAATACATAAGGGGGGATATGATCTCCCATGTTTAATACATAAGGGGGGATATGATCTCCCATGTATAATACATAAGGGGGGATATGATCTCCCATGTATAATACATAAGGGGGGGGGATATGATCTCCCATGTATAATACATAAGGGGGGGGTGGGTTATGATCTCCTCCATGTATAATACATAAGGGGGAGGGATATGATCACCATGTATAATACATAAGGGAGGGATATGATCACCATGTATAATACATAAGGGAGGGATATGATCACCATGTATAATACATAAGGGGGGGATATTATCTCCATGTATAATACATAAGGGGGGATATGATCTCCATGTATAATACATAAGGGGGGATATGATCTCCATGTATAATAACTAAACCACCTAATACACAGTTTATATACATTCAAGGGAGCTGCATTACCTGCAATTGAATTTGTATTTTTGTCCATCCAGTCCTCATTTACACAGTCTCTGGGCACTGAATTGTGGAAGAGCTAACACCATGTAACAATTGGGAAATACTTCCAGCCTGCTGACTGTACAGTTGAATAGAATCTGCAGACTAAGGAGGTCATCTTTCTGCTCACTGTACTCTCTCCTTTTGTCCACAGGTTCCTTGCATGCAGCATACTTGATTGTCCCTACCTCTCCCAGTCTGAGTGCTTCTGTATAGAGTACTGTGTAGGCTGATACCAAGTCATGTGCTGGCACCTACACAAACTGCACTAAAATATACAATTGAAGATTACTGTATTTTATTTTTTTTTTTGTTTATCCCCCCCCACCTACACATCGGAATCACTAAAGAATGCAGATATATACTTCTAATAAAAACTTACACATGTGGGAATCTAAATATAATATATAGTTCGATAAAATAGGTGTATAGAATATGCATGTAATGTATTTTTCTTCTTTTTTTTTTTTTTTTTTTGTAGAAACAAAAAAGTGAGAGAATTTTAGGGTCTACACAAGCAACATATTTTCTGGAAGATTGTCTCCATTTTATGTTGTTGGTTTACCAGGGCCCCTCTACTTTCCAAAGTCTGTCCCTTGTTATATTTCCCACTCCGTGGTTGATGGATTATACTGTATGTAATCCATCCCACACTGAATCCCTAATATTTCCAATTTGCTATTTATCATCTCCAGTCTGTAAGCCCTAAAGAAGGGGTCTGACCCTGAATCATGCTGAATGTCTTACTTTTCCAAATAATGGAGTTTTTTGTAAAGTCCAGAAGTCCTTGAGACATTTCTTTACAGTGCTTCTCACCCTGAACAAGTAACTCATTGTTATTTATTGGTATTTGTAGAACAATACAGTCATGGAAAGGGTAAGCTGCATTCTCTGATTCACCAGCAGGTCATGCAGACCATGGGAATATGTAAGCACTGGGGGATCTTCCACACAATAATAGAATTCGTACAGGTTTTTTCAACCTTTTAGGATAATGCTGAGAAGGAAATGGTTATATGTAGCAGAATCATCTCTTTGAAGTCACATTACCTCTTCCTTCTTTCTCCTTCACAGACGCCAGAATACTTCCGTCCTTGTACATTGCAAGATGGGGGTGTCTCGCTCGGCCTCCACAGTGATTGCTTATGCCATGAAGGAATACGAGTGGACGTTGGAACAAGCTTTGAAACACGTCAAAGAAAGAAGGAGCATCGTCCAACCGAATGCTGGATTCCTGCGACAGCTGCAGACATACCAGGGCATCTTAGGAGCAAGGTGAATAACTTTTTTAGATGTAATGAGAAAAAAAAGATGTATTATAGGCTTCAGGCTTAAAGGTTCACCTGGACTCAAAATACTTGCTGTCTTACAGGGAACAATGAGATATGTTAATTGCGCCTAAGCAGTACCCTATAAATGTACCTTTTGGCTTGAATTCCTCTTGAAAAATACCAGTGAACTTCCTGTATCTATACCATTGTGCTGGAGAAAAAGCTGTAGCTGAGGATCTGCTACGCAAGGATGTCTCTGTGTCAAAGTTGGATAGACCAGTTGAAAGCATTCAAACAAGAGGGCACAAAGTCCTAGTTTATTACCTAATGAAATGTTTATTAAAACCAAAATATGCCAAAAACATACAAAAAGCCCATAGGCCAATAGCATTGTATAAAATTAACCCAAGTGACAAGAAGATCGAAATGTAGATGTGTCACAGAGACCTAGGCATCACTTAGATGTACATCCAGATGCACTTCAAGGGACAAGCCCTCATTCATTTGTATTTCACATTTACCTTTTAAATTAAAATCAAAATTGCACTAAATGACCAATACTAAGTGGGACCTCCCTGTCCCTCAAAGCGCAACAATAAAAAACTGGTTGCACTAAAACACAGTGAGTCTTTTTATAGATCTGGGGCTTGGCATTGTGTGGCATTGCTGTCTGTGATCTAAAGCACCCAAGTGTTGAGATTCCTCACTGATTCTCCCAGGAGAGCCCCTCCTGATGTGTATGTTTTTGGCATCCATGTGCATACTTTTCTCAGTATTGAACATAATCTGCCAACCCCCTATTTTATCAAGGTCTTCCTGTAATGCTGCCATATCCTGTGCCAAATTTATTTCCCTGCATGATTTGATATTTATTTATATCAGGTACTTATATAGCGCCATCAATTTACGTAGCGCTTTACATATTTATTGTACATTCACATCAGTCCCTATCCCTCAAGGGGTGTACAATTTTAAAGTCCCTAACTTACATTTATACATATACATACTAGGGCCAATTTAGACAGGAGCCAATTAACCTACTGGCATGTCTTTTGGAGTGTGGGAGGAAACCCACGCAGGCACAGAGAGAACATGCAAACTCCTGGCAGGTGGTGCCATGGTTGGGATTCAAACCAACAACCCTAGTACTGCCAGGTCTAACCATTTATCCACTGTGATGTCATCAAACGCTGAAATTGAGCTTTTAATTATAACCTCTATATCCTTAGTAAATTGAGCAGCTTTGGTCACAAAACAGAACCATGGGGCACACCACCCAAAACTTTGGACTGTTCAGAAAATGAGTCATCTATCACTATTCCCTGGGGCCTTTCACTTAACTAGTTTCCTATCCATGTGCATACATTTCCATCCACCCCACCAGACCTTAATTTTTAGATATCAAATGTGTTAGTAAAATCTATATAAACCACATCCATTGGACTTCCACCATCCAATTTTTCTTCCTTACAGAACAAAAACTGGTTAGTCTGACAGGAATGGTCTTTCATAAAGCCATGCTTGTCACTTATGATACCTTTTTATCATAGACAAACCTCTGAATACAGTCACTTAGCATTCCATCAAATACTTTACATACTAGTGATGTTAGGCTGACTAGACTGTATTTTTTTTTTTTTTTGTTTGTATACATCTTGGTCATTTTTTGTAAATCGGTACTACATTTGCACTAAGCCAATGAATTGGTACCATTCCAGCCAGTAAAGTGTTGTTTTTTTTTTTTTGTTTTTTGTTTTTAAATTCAAAGTGCTTTGCTTATAATTGAGATAAGTTCCCTTAGGACTTGTGGGTGTAAACCATCTGGACTTGGTGATTGTTTATCTAGTTTCTTGTACCTGGTCTCAGGTACCTTGATTTAATTGGTACCTTGGACACAGAGGTACCTTGATTTAATACATCTGCCTTTCCCTGTCTTTTTTTTTTTTAACATACTTTGACAAGAGCAGTCCAGTGTTGCCATAGTGACATTGTACAACTCTAGGGAGATGAGCATTTGTTTTTACACACGGATTGCTTATAACAGTGTTGATCATTGTTATAAGCAATAATTTTTATGAATGGCATCCATTCATTCACAAACATGCATTTAGTATCACAATAGTATTATTATTGGCTGCTATACTATACTAGTATTGGCTGTGATTGGCCCTGTCTGTACAATATAATTACTGTGATCAATCACAGAGCTCATCACAAAAGTATAATTATTGGCTATGAATAAACGCCATTCATTGCGCAGAAATGTCATGTGACTGCTGTGATTGGTCAGGGTAACAGATTGCTCCGCAGCGTGGCTACTAGGGCGCACACAAGGCCCGTGACTGGGAGGATGTCATATGAAGTCCACCCAGGATGGGAGAGTTCCCTCTCTGCCATCATTTGATAATAGGCTGGGATGAAAGCGATTTAATACACCAGTGAGTTTTTTTCCTAATCCCTTATATAAGTGCACAAAATATCTCAGACTACAACTCCTAGAATACCGAGTAGCGGTAAACACACATGCATGGTGATGTCATGACCTCCAGCTCTGCCCTACACGTTTCGTCAGATATGACATTATGAGGAGTACCTTTAATCCTACCAGATATTTTGTGAGCAGTTAACTGCCTGTGCTGCACGCTTATCAGTTTTATATTCTCATCCCTGTGGACTACAGAATCCTGCTCCATGTGTTATAGAGAAGAAGAGATGGGGATGTGTTCTAGAGTCCTAATACACTTTTTGTCCAAGGCTGACAACACTGTTCCTCCAGTAGATGCAGTATTGTCAGTGAACATTGTCACTCCAGAGCAGGAAGCGCTACTGGTAGCTTCACTAAGTGAAATGCCTGAAAAAAAAAATTAATTCAACAACACATCTAAGAACTGCTAATTGGCAATATTACATTTTTGTTGTTTGGGTTTTGGTCATCTTTACCTTTTAGGCATTTCATACAATATTTAATGTTTTTTAGTTATACATAAAATAATCTGTTTTTTTTTTTTGTTTTTTTTCTTCTGTCTTTTTTTTTATATAACATTTGCTGGGCACTGAATACAGTAAGCAGCGCCACAGTTATTTGTGGGACCCCAGCTCTGCACCTGCCATTTCAAGGTACCCTAGCCCCCCAGATTCTCTAGCTACACTACCTTCTGCCCCTAAAAAGATGAACCTGCGTTTTCTTATGAGGTCTATCAGTGAGATGGAGGTTACTGACTCCACCCCTGAGTTGAAAGACAGGCCAACAGAAAGAGAGCGGAGTGCCTCTGAGAGGGGCAACGGCCAACTGGAAGACTTTGACAGTGTGCCCGAAAAAGAGGACAGCCTATCAAACCAACTGGATAGTCTGTCATCCCTGGATGACAGCTTGCTAGAGCGAAACGATAGTTCAATGGATCAAGACCAGAGCGAAGTGTATCCAGATGACCAAGATGGAGAATTGGCAGAATCCTCCACAAAGAAAAAAACCAAATGTGCGGCATTGCACGAGGAGAGTACGTCATTGGATGAGGTTAGTGCAAGAATATCCAAAAATGATTATGCTTTTATTAGTAATATATTGTAACATTGTCTTTTATCTTTATCCTTTTAGCTTTAAAATTCAGTTGCCTTTTGAAACAGGTTCAGGTTTTCCCTTGGCCATATTGTCCATCACGCTATTATCTGGTATATCCTGTACTTACTGCTTTATGATGGTATTTTCACACCAATCTGCCAGATAGACCATTTCAAAACCTTAAAGTGGAGTTCTATCCAAAAGTGGAAGCTCTGCTTAACTACCCATACCCTCCGCCACACTTGGCACCTTTTGGGGGGAAGAAGGGAAAGGGGACCTGGTTTTTGAGGAGTAGATGTGTTTTTTTTTTTTTTTTTTTTTTTTTTTTTCATTACGATCAATAAAGAAGTCTGTGGATTATTTGATCTAAATTAACTGGAACCTATAAATAAACACAGCCAGGGTGTGCCTAGGCCTTTTTGTTTTTTTGGTAAGCTAGGTTAGCAGCTAAATACAAAGATTAAATACAAAGACTGAGATTAAGCTCTGAAGTCACTTTTGCAGCAGTTTTCCTTTTCTGGTTCACAATCCTGTGTAATGTCCTTTTGTGTCTCTTGAACATGTTGACTGCACTTATGCTTATCAGACAACCTTTTCCTGGAAACTGTATATGCCGTCATAACCTTTTATACTGCACCTCGCAACACGGCAAATAAATTGGTAACTTCAGTTTCAGAGGCATCAGCTAAGTGACACCAACAGTTTGCTCTCTTTGAAGCTTAGTAAGCTATGACATGACTCCATATTGCTAATAGTGCACACAGTGAATAAAAAAGGTGAGGCTTCCACCCCCCGTTAGCTAGGTGTCTCATCACACAGTGGAAGCAAAAGAATGTTACATCACTTCCACTTTCAACGCAAAACATGTCACTTTCACACCTGCAAATCGTGTAGTGTTTCTATATTTTTTTTTACTTAACCCCTGCACCCCTACCTAAAGGAAAATTGGACACTAGCAAACAGTCCATGTACATAGAAGGTAATATTGGAGATTGACCTATGCTTTTTCTGTGTTGGACTGGACAATTGCAGGATTATTATTATACAGGATTTACATAGCGCCAACAGTTTGCGCAGCACTTTACAATATAAGGGAGACAGTGCAATTACAATACATTTCAGTACAGAAGGAATAGGAGGGCCCCTGCCCGTGCAGCTTACAATCTGAAGGAAGGGGGAGGTGGTACAAAAGGTGATAGCTGTGGGGGATGATCTGGCGGAGGTGATTCAAGTACAGTTCTTAGGTGGAGGTGGGGTAGGCTTCCCTGAATAAGTAAGTTTTCAAAGTTCGCCTAAAGGCAGACATGGTGGAGGCGGACTGGACATACTGCGGTAGGGAATTCTTCTAGAGGATGGGAGAGGCTGTGGTTCGTCCTGGAGGCGAGCGTGGGAGGAGGTGACGAGGGAACTAGAGAGGAAGTTGTCTTGGGACGAGTGGAGCAGACGATTTGGACGATATCTGTGGATAAGGTTGATGATGTAGCTAGGGGCAATGGTGTGGATGGCTTTGTATATTGTGGTTAGTAATTTGAATTTTATACATTTGGGTTAGAGGAAGCCAAAGAAGGGAACGGCAGAGAGGGGCAGAAGTCGCTGATCTGTTGGTAAGGTGTATGAGTCTAGCAGGAGCATTCATAATAGACTGAAGGTGAGATAACCTGTGTAACGGTAGACCAGTGAGGAGAGAGTTGCAATAATCAAGGCGGGATATAACCAAGGCATGATTAAGTTGTTTTGTGGTATCATTGTTCAGAAAGGAGCAGATTTTGGAAATGTTCCGGAGGTTGAGGCAGCAGGATTTGGCCTACGATTGGATGTCGGGCCCAAAGGAGAAGTCAGAGACTAGGATTACACTTAGCACTCTGGCATGAGGGGAAGGACCAGCTAGCACAACACTATTGATCTTAATGGTAAAGTCGTGAGTGGGGGATCGGGGGAGGAGGAAATATTACAAGCTTGGTTTTGGAAAATTTGAGTTTAAGGGAGTGGTGTGACATCCATACTGATATGTCGCTTAGTAGATTTGTGATACATGAGGAAATTGAGGGGGGTGCGCTGGGGAGTGGAGAGATAGATCTGGGTGTCATCAGCATAGAGGTGGTGTTGGAAGCCATAGGAGGTTATCAGTTGGAAGAGATGAAAAGGAGGGGCCCAAGGACAGTTAAGAGGAGAACCAGGAGAGAGCAGAGTCATGGTGGCTGATTATTATTATTATTATTATACAGTATTTATAAAGCGCCAATAGTTCGCTCAGCGCTGTACATTACAAAGGGGGACAGAACATGTGACAGAACAATACCAATACAATGCAAAACATGAGGGGATCAAGGGCCCTGCTCTTTCGAGCTTACAATCTAGGAGGGAGGGGGTGGTGGCACAGGAGGAGATAGCTGTGGGGGATGGAGTGGTAGGAAGAGTGGAGGAGGTCGGCAAGTTAGCAGGGGGTGGGGTAGGCTTCCCTGAAGAGATGGGTTTTCAGGGTGCGCCTAAAGGAGAGGAGAGTAGGTGATAATCTGATGGGTTGGGGCAGGGAGTTCCAGAGGATGGGTGACACCCTGGAGAAGTCCTGGAGGCGGGCATGGGAGGAGGAGACCAGGGAACTAGAGAGAAGGAGGTCTTGTGAGGAGCGGAGTGTGCGTGCTGGGCGGTACTTGGATATTAGGTCAGAGATGTAGTACGGGGCAGTATGGTGGACAGCTTTGTACGTCAGCGTTAGGATTTTGAATTTGATCCGTTGCGCAATCGGAAGCCAGTGGAGGGATTGGCAGAGGGGGGTGGCGGAGACAGAGCGGTTGGAAAGGTGAATGAGTCTGGCAGCCGTATTCAGGATCGACTGAAGCGGGGATAGCCAGCGGTGAGGCAGGCCAGTGAGGAGGGAGTTGCAGTAGTCGAGTCGTGATATGATGAGGGAGTGGATGAGATGCTGATGGAGTGTTTACTGAAGAGGAGCGGGTGATCGACTGTGTCAAAGGCAGCGGTAAGGTCTACGAGCATGAGTGTAGTAATGGCCATTGGTTTTAGCAGTTAGTAGGTCGTTAGTGAGCTTTAGTAGGGCAGTTTCAATGGAATGTTGTGGGCGGAAGCCAGACTGTAGAGGATCAAGAAGGTTGTTGTCGGTGAGGTAGCGGTTCATACGGTTGTGAACAAGGCACTCGAGAAGCTTGGAGGCAAACTGGAGCAGGGAGATGGGTCTTAAGTTATTCAAACAGGTGGGGTCCAGCGAGGGTTTTCTAAGTAGGGGGGTAACCAGTGCTTGTTTGAGCGGGGAGGGAAATGTTCCCGTGGAGAGAAGTGAGAGGTTGAAGATGCAGGTTAGAGTTTAGGATAGAGCATGAAGGAGGCTGCAATAATCGTGAGGGGACCGGGTCCAGGGGACAGGTGGTGAAGTGAACCTTGGAAAGGAGTTTAGTAACTTCCTTGGTGGTAACTGAGTCGTAGGAGGGAGAGTGTTGGGGGGTGTGGTGTTGGGTTGAGTGATGTGTGTTGGTTGGAGGAGGAAGCTTGACACTGGAGAGCTCATCATGAATTGTGGATCTTGTTCTTGAAATGACTGGCGATCTTCTGTGCAGTAAGTAAGTTGGTGGGCGGAGGCAGTGGTGGGTGGAGTAAGGAATTTAAGGCTAGAAAAGAGTTGATGAGGCTTGGATGAGAGGGTCTTAATGAGAGTGTTGTAATAGGTTTGTTTAGCAGCGTGAAGGCTGGCGTTTTATTTGAGAAGGGCTGATTTGTAGAGGGTGAAGGATTGTAGGGATTTAGTTTTGCGCCATGCTCGCTCAAGAACACGACTGCATCTCGAGTCTTCTGGTGTCATCTGTTTGCCAGGGTTGTGACAGGCGAGGCCTTGTTCTGCGCGTAGAGAGAGGAGCAAGTGCGTCCAGGGAGGATGATAGATAGTTGTAGGGAAATGTGGCCAGGTCTGGGCAAGACAGGGGCACAATTTTGTCATAAAGGTATGCAGTAGCAGAGTGAAAAAGGTCAGGGCTGAGGTGGTGGAGGTTTCTGCGAGTAATTTTTTGCTGGTTGGAGGCATGGGAGGTAAGAGACAGGGAGAGTGTGAAGCTGATAAAAGTTGTGATCAAGGTTGAGGATGTTGCCGTTAAAGTGGGTGGTAGTTTGTGTCCATTGGGTTAAAAAGAGGTTAGGTTGAGTAGTGGCTGAGGTGTTAACAATGACTGGGATGTTGAAGTCACCGAGGATGATGGCAGGTACCTCAGAGGAGAGCATGTACGGTAGCCATGCCGAGAAGTCATTAAGAAAGTGTCAAACTAGGCCTGGGGGCCTGTAGAGAACTGTGATCTTAGACAAACAGGAGAAAAGAGATGAATACAGTGCACTTCAAAAGAGCAAAGGGACAGAGAGGGAGGTGTAGGAAGAATCTGGAAAGTGCTTTGTGGGGAAAGAAGTAGTCCAGCTCTGCACCCTCTTCGTCATCGGGTTCTGGGCAAATGCGTCCAGAGGAGGCCACTATGAGAGAGTGCAGCGGAGAAGTATGCTTCCTGGAGCCAAGTTTCGATAATAGCAAGTAGGTTGTGGGAGTGGGAGAGGAAGAAATCATTGATAGTAGAAAGTTTAATAGAGACTGAGTGGGCATTCCAGACGGCACATAAGAGGGAAGGGCCAGCGTGTGGAAGCAGGGGAATTGAGATAAGAGAGTGAGGGTTGCGGCTGATGCCAGAGAAGGGTGACTGCTGCTTCTGTGGGTTGGAGTTTGATGGTGGAGGGCCAGGGTTTGGGGCGATGTCTCCAGCAGTTAGTAGTTGTAGGAGGGTGAGGGAGGTGAGGTGGGTACGGGCAAATGCCACAGTGACTTTGGAGAGGTGACCTTTTGTGGGCTAAGAGCAGTAGATAAGTACAATTATATTGGAAATACAGAAGTGAGGGTGATATGTACAGGTTGTGCGGTGGGGAAGAGAGGTAAAGAAGAGAGAGTTTGAGGAGAGAGGGCATTCTAAAAAAAAAAAGAAAGCTAGTAAGAGCATGTTGGCGAGTGAGGAGAAATAAAGGAAGGTTGAGAGAAAAAGATGGTAGAGGAAAGGGCACTTGCAGACTATTTGGGGTGGAGCACTAATGTTTGTACTGGCCTTAGTTAAGGTGCCATGTTCTAAGAGCCATACACTTAGCACCAGCATGGTACGTTGTGCAGGGAATGCCAGCCTGTTCCCTCGCCAGCCTTCCCAAGGACTGTACTGAGTTTATACTTGGATGGACTGGGGGAGGTTTGACAATTGTTCAATTAATAAATGACGCATGGTGGAGGTGTTTCTGCCCTTAACAAATTGCAAGCAGGATGGACACAAGATGAGGCAAGGTGTTTTATCTCAGCTAAGGCACTATGAGACCAAGTTAACTTACTATAGACAAGTACAGACAGCAGTTACAATAAATCTAACAAAGCAGATAATTTCAGTCATGCAAAATAGCATAGCATTTGAGAGAGGAGTGGAGTCAGCGGTTACTAAGGGCCACAGCAGGATTTGCCTTGAATGTGTTCTTTAGACACTGGGCTTCACTTTTTAGAATGTTCCTGACCTTAGCGCACTGGTTGTTTTGGCCCTAGAGCACTTTCTGGATCCAGAGCCGTGACACAGTCTCTGATCTTACTCATTGAATCTGCAGTCAGGCTGAAGAACCAAGTGCTACCTTGTGCTTTTCACCATTGGACATCATTTCAACTTTCTTGGCTCCACTTCTTCCACCACATTAAGAATTAAGGCTGAGGGGTTGAGCACGGATGCTGTCTGCTGGGTGGCCATGTGCACATTGCATTCTCTTTCCTTCCTTTCAGCCTAGAAGCACCATTCTGCTGCTGTTCTTACTCCCTCAAAAATCCCAAGGGTCTGTGGTCTGTTTCCATTGCCTGATTACGGAGACCTGGTGAACTCCAGCTGTTTGGACATCCTTACCAGCATTATCTGCTTGGGTTTTTGTACTAGACGCTACAACTCTCACTGGGTCTAGTTGCATACTGTTGTGCAGAAGCACTATGTTTTCTCTAAGATGTACAGATGACTGTTCTGCTGTGATGGATGGCCCCAGTTTATACTCCCCTAGAGGTTCTGGGGATTTTCATCTGGTATCACCAGAAGGAACCGATGCCCCTAATTTGGAAACAGTGGTGCTCATTATGATTTGGTTTCCCCTCCTTGAAGGCTACTGCAGTTTCTTCAGGCTCCTTCCTGGCTATTTAAGTTTTTGGGGGGCATTTTTCCCATACAAGTTTCAAGCACACCCCAGCGTCTTCGACTGTAGAATTTATCTCCGACTCCCCTGAGCCATCAAGACACATTGAGCCTGCGACTCCTGTTAGTTACCATGTCTGATTCTAAATTGGTTACTACATAGTTTACTTTTTTATTGGTTGAACTAGATGTACTTGTCTTTTTTCAACCTATGTAACTATAGAAAACTAAGAGAACCTCAATACACATAATCCTATACCCATAGTTGATCCCGAGAAAGGCAAAAAAAAAATGGAGCATAGTCCAATTTGGTCCGGCAAGGAAAATAAAAATCCTTTCCAATCTCTCAGGAGGCAATCTGGATCAATAATTTCTGGTGTTATTACCTGTAGATGTTAGTAGCCAGTTATATTTTGTGCATTTAGCAATGTATTCAGCTCTTTGTTAAAACAATCTACTGAGCTGGCCAGAACTAGTGCCCTCCATACATAGAGAGAGCCTGTCACCTGCCCTCTATCACATGGGGGCTTTTCAACATCCTTTAATAGACCAAGCTGTCCATAATAGTGGCAGTTAGGTTGAGACAAAATATTTAACGCAGACAATGGTGCTTAGCTATGATTTATTTACGTAAAATCTTTATTCCAAAAGGAAAAAAACACCACGCTTATGTTGCTCTTAGAAGCACTTTGTTCCGTCAGTGTTCTCCATTATCCAAAACTACTTTAACTTTTAGAATTTACAGTAATCCCAATGGATGTTGTTGGACTTGTCTGAGTAAGTTAACCCTACCCTAATTTTTTTTTTTTTTTTTTAGTTTACTGCAGACATTCCCATGTCAATCTTAATTTAAAATTTTCAGCCAGTGTACAAAATTGTAGAATATCATTCCTACCTATGCGTAAAAAAAACCTGAAGCCGTCCAAAATGGATTAGAGATTTATTACTTTTAAGTTAATACAGTGGGGCAAAAAAGTATTTAGTCAGCCACCAATTGTGCAAGTTCTCTCACTTAAAAAGATGAGAGAGGCCTGTAATTGGCATCATAGGTAGACCTCAACTACGAGAGACAAAATGAGAAAAAAAATCCAGACAATCACATTGGCTGATTTGGAAAGAATTTATTTGCAAATTATGGTGGAAAATAAGTATTTGGTCAATATCAAAAGTTCATCTCAATACTTTGTTATATATCCTTTGTTGGCAATGACAGAGGTCAAACGTTTCCTGTAAGTCTTCACAAGGTTGGCACACACTGTTGCTGGTATGTTGGCCCATTCCTCCATGCAGATCTCCTCTAGAGCAGTGATGTTTTTGGGGCTGTCGCTGGGCAACACGGACTTTCAACTCCCTCCAAAGGTTTTCTATGGGGTTGAGATCTGGAGACTGGCTAGGCCACTCCAGGACCTTGAAATGCTTCTTACGAAGCCACTCCTTTGTTTCCCGGGCGTTATGTTTGGGATCATTGTTGTGTTGGAAGACCCAGCCACTTTTCATCTTCAATGCCCTTGCTGATGGAAGGAGGTTTGCACTCAAAATCTCATGATACATGGACCCATTCATTTTGTCCTGTACATGGATCAGTCGTCCTGGTCCCTTTGTGGAGAAACATCCCTAAAGCATGATGTTGCCACCCCCATGCTTCACAGTAGGCATGGTGTTCTTTGGATGCAACTCAGCATTCTCTCTCCTCCAAACAGGATGAGTTTGTGTTTCTACCAAACCGTTTTATTTTGGTTTCATCTGACCATATGACATTCTCCAAATCCTCTTCTGGATCATCCAAATGCTCTCTAGCAAACTTCAGACGGGCCCGGACATGTACTGGCTTAAGCAAGGGGACACGTCTGGCACTGCAGGATCTGAGTCCCTGGCGGCGTAGTGTGTTACTGATGGTAGCCTTTGTTACGTTGGTCCCAGCTCTCTGCAGGTCATTCACTAGGTCCCCCCGTGTGGTCCTGGGATTTTTGCTCACCGTTCTTGTGATCATTTTGACCCCACGGGGTGAGATCTTGCGTGGAGCCCCAGATCGAGGGAGATTATCAGTGGTCTTGTATGTTTTCAATTTTCTAATTATTGCTCCCACAGTTGATTTGTTCACACCAAGCTACTTGCCTATTGTAGATTCAGTCTTCCCAGCCTGGTGCAGGTCTACAATTTTGTTTCTGGTGTCCTTTGACAGCTCTTTGGTCTTCACCATAGTGGAGTTTGAAGTGTGACTGTTTGAACTTGTTATCAGTATAAAAGACACCTGTCCACAACCTCAAACAGGTGCCATTGATACAGGTAATGAGTGCAGGACAGAGGAGCCTCTTAAAGAAGAAGGTACAGGTCTGTGAGAGCCAGAAATCTTGCTTGTTTGTAGGTGACCAAATACTTATTTTCCACCATAATTTGCAAATAAATTCTTTCCAAATCAGCCAATGTGATTGGATTTTTTTTTCTCATTTTGTTTCTCATAGTTGAGGTCTACCTATGATGCCAATTACAGGCCTCTCTCATCTTTTTAAGTGGGAGAACTTGCACAATTGGTGGCTGACTAAATACTTTTTTACCCCACTGTATATTCTGATGTCACACAATAGGTTCTTTATAGAGTTTTGAATTCTGCTTTTTAATGTTAATTTTTTTTTAGGTGTTTTGTTTCTCCATCTCTGTCTCCTCGCCCTCAGTCCTCATCAGCCCGTAGAAGATCAAGACGCAAAAAGAAGCTTCAGGCCCAGCAGTCAGTAGAGGAAACACGGGCAGGCCTATCATCAAAGTCAGAATCTGTGGCAGTGCTTGAAGACGCAGGACTTGTATCTAAGCGTTTGCAGGAGGTAGAGCAACAAGGCCGCAAATCTCGGATCATGCGACAGAGCAATATTGGAGAGATGCCAGAGGAATCGTAGACTTTCAAGGCTTCCACATGCATTTGGGCCAGGGAATGCAGGCAGTATTTAACCTGGGGGAGCATATTTTTATATTTTTGTAAAAAAAAAATATTTTTTCCATTGCCATTACCACATAAAGTAGAAAGAGGAAGCTTTGAAAGAAAAGACTCAGGGATGGTATTCTTATTTTATATCTGGTTCTTGTTAAAATGTTTTTCTGTCATAATATTCATTTTAATAAAAATAAAATGGAGTCAGTTGAGTCTTTTAAAGACCAAATATCTTCAAAAGCATAGCTGGCATGGCATCAAAGGCAAAAATATACTACTTGTATGGTGGCAAATTTTACAGTCTTACACGCACATCATACCCATGGTGATATTTACACTACTTTTCATATATGAAGAGTAGAAGCTACCTGCAGTGAACTGATTCCAATTTTCAGTCTCCCATATTGCAATAGGACAAGAAGAGTTGGAACTGGGTTGGTTACTGATATAATTTGTATCTCTATCCATTCAGTCTTGACATTTATACAGCCCTGTCTGGCCATGCAGGAGAGCCTGCTGAAGTTTCAGGCACATTTATAGGAGAAGCACCAGTCTGATCTTATCACACTGTTCTCCCCTCCTACAGCAAGAGACTAGTATCAAGTCAAATTCAGGTACTTATCGTGTTTGAAAAAAATGCATTTAAAGTGATATTAAAGGTTCCAAAACAGCCCCAATTCTCTTCTTCTTGGGTCTTCCCCTGTGCTCCTGGCTCCTCCCCCTTGACCTGTGCCTTCAAAAGTAAGCTGCTTGGTATAGGTGCACTGATGCCCACTTGCTCCTGAGTGTCCATAAGACACAAAGAGCTGCAGCGTGGCCCCGTCCGCGCTCTCCACATTGGTTGTGATTGATAGCAGTGGGAACCAATGACTTCACTGCTATGTCTTAGCCAACAAGAAGAGACAGCCAAGGTTCCCGGGCTCAGGTGAGTATGGGGGGGGGGGGGGGCGGCCTTCAGCCTTTACAACCACCTTAATGATAGCAAGCCCTATGTTGGTGGCAACGAAGGTGTTTGTCAGCAGCAGAAAGGACCTATAGACAGGCTCCTGGCTGTTATGGCAGCTTGGAAGGTTTTCACTCCACCGCCAAATGCTGGCTTTCTAGTGGAAACGATTGGGTCTGCTTTACAGCTGCAGCAAAAATTAAAACCCACCACTGTGTTTGAAGGGCAGTACCACTGCTGTATGTGACCCATTTAGATGACTGGGGCAACTGCGCTGCAGCTTCATGCAATGCAGGCAGTTGGAGCACAGTGGTGAGATATATCACCCCCCACCCAGCTGCCTTTCAACTGCCCTATAAAAAGTGATCACTGGAGACTGGTAAGCTGCAATGCAGTTGCCTGCAGTAGGAGACAGGCACAGACTGAAGAAGTAGTTCATTCCTGCTCTCTCTTATTTACAATTCCTTTGGTGTGCAGAGGCTGATGGGAATTCCAGATATAAAAGATTTCAGATATATACATTGTTGTTCTTCAGGGAATTGTTTTATGGCCAAAAATAACAAAGCTTTGAGTCCTTTTATATTTTTTTAGGAATAAACTATTAGGCTTAAGCAATAAGATCGTCAAGCACAAATGATTACACATGAAGCACAAAAAGCCCATAGCAACCAGTAAGAATTCCTCTTTGAGGCTCCTGTGGGTTAAGGTAGGATGGGTTGCTATGCACTGCGCTTTACGTGTTGCACTGCCTTGCTAAACAAGCCTGTTACAACTCGCACAGAATACAGATCAGTTTAGGATATTGTGTAATATTGTTTGTCTTGAACCTTTTGTCATACGGTTATTGTTGGAGACATTTTTACACACAACTTGTATATTGCATTTTAGGTGTATTTTTCAATTGTGCTGCTAGAGATAATGTTATATTGTGCAAATGCTAACGTTTTCTTTGTGGACTGCAAATATATTAATGTTATCTCAATCATTAATGTGCCTTCTCTAAAACAGAGAATTGTTGTGCTACGACTGAATTATTTAATGAAAACAATTACAAAACATATACTTTTTTTAAAAACTTACTACTTTTTTTTGTCATTTTCAAGGGTGATATTTTAGCCCTACCTGCCATAACATTAAAGTGACCCTGTAAAAAAAAAAAAAAAAAAGTAAACACCTTTTCCTGCTACTCACACCTCCAGCTGAAGTCTGCTGGCAAACTGACTTTTGCGGGAGTGTCTATCTACTTTGGTCTTTCATATTGGTCACTGGTTAGTACTGTTGATCACATCACTACTGTGTTCTATATTGACATGGAGGTCAGTTGAAAGAACCAGTGGTCTGGGGGGGGGATCAAGGCAATCGCATCTGGAAATATATCAGATGGCCAGAAGACTTTGGTGGAGGATTACTCTTGAATGTGCATGGGTTCTGTTGCAAAGGACAGTAAGGTAAAAATATTCCTTTTTTTTTTTTTAATGCTGATATACATAGATTGCTGTAACGGTCCACTTTAATCACTGACCTGTAGTGCTGATTCTTACTCCAACAAGATTGGGACTATTTTTCAACAAGGTTTAATTTTATTCCCACTGACACCAACGACAGCAAAGCTTTTCCTCCCACTGACACTTATTAGTTTACCTCAATGATGGAGGACAAAGTCAATAGTAGAGAAGAACCTGGGTATTCAGTTTGGCATTGCATACTACTAAATCTATGATCTACTGGGAGTCTATACGTCTTTTAATACAAGGAAATATTTTGCTAGCTTTACAAACTGCAGAGAGAGACATAATTTTTCCCCTGTCCAAATCATTGGTAATATCTCATCTGGAATATGCAGTTCAGTTTTAGACAATGGCTCACAAAAAGGATATCTGAGAACTGGAGAAAGTTACAGAGAAGGGCAACCAAACTGTTGAGGCATGGAGGAGATCAGCTATGAGGAAAGATTAGCTGAACTGTCAGCTCTGTTGAGAAGAGGCAATTAAGGGGTATATCCTCACCATGTATAAATTCATAAGTGGTCCACATAATGAATTCAGTGTAGAATTATTCACTTTAAGGTGATCACAAAGGACAAGGGGGCACTCTTTACAGCTGGAGGAAAAGAGATTTACCTTCACAGAAAGGCTTCTTCACAGTAGGTTGGAGCTGTGACAAAGTGGAATAGGCTCGCTTAAGAACTAGTTCTGGCCAATTCAGTAGGTTTTAAAGAGCTGGGTGCATTCCTTAATGCACAACTGGATATTAACATTTATTGATAGCATTGTAGATTATTGATCCAGGGAATATCCAACTGCCTCCTTTGGGGATCAGGAAATAATTTTTTTTTTTTCCCCTCACTGGAGCAAAGTGGACCATGCTTCATAGGGGGTTTTTTGCTTTCCTTTTGATCAACTGTGGGTATTGCCTGCCACTTTATTAAGTACACCTGTTCAATTGCTTAGTAACACAAATGGCTAAGCAGCTAATCACATGGCAGCAACTCAGTTGCATTTAGGCCTGTAGACATGGTAAAGATGACTTGCTGAAGTTCAAAACCGAGCATCAGAAGGGGGAAGAAAGGGAGATTTAAGTGACTTTGAATGTGGCATGGTTGTTAGTTCTAGATGGACTTGGCTGAGTATTTCAAAAACTGCTGATCTACTAAGCTTTTCACACACAACCATCTCTGGGGTTTACAGAGAATGGTCCAAAAAGAGAAAATATCCAGTGAGCGGAAGTTGTGTGGATGAAAATAGTCTGCCCATTCTCTTTTGACCTCAACAAGGCAGTTACTGTGCTATTCAGGGTAGGGTCAGAATATGGAAGTTTTTCAATTATTTTTTTGCTATTGGTTGAACTAGGTGGACTTTTTTCAGCCTTCATGTAACTAGGACACCAGCGATATGGGGCTCATTTTCTTCACACTGACACCAAACAAAAAGGCTAATTTTAATCTGCCAGGTACGAATGAAAATGGCTTTTTTTTTAAAAAATCCCATGGACAATGATGATGGAGCTTATTGTTCTACCATTGACACCAACACTATTATGACAGACTGACCCTGAAATGACGATGGCACAAGTGCTATGGGTAGAAAGTGTCAGGGAAGAAGGGGGGGAGCAATTAACTTTTAACATTAATTTTCCAGCTAACCACCAGGAGCTCTGGGGAAGGGGAAGGTCTGTGAGGTCTGAGGAAGAGAGAGAGGAGGTTAAAGGGGATCTGGAAAGATGATATGAGGTCTATAGAGCTCTGAGGAAGAAAGAAGAGGTCTGGGTGGGTCTGAGAAGAAAAGAAAGGTCAGGGAAATAGTAGAGGGGAGGTCTGGGGCATTTGAGGAGAGAGAAGGTCTTGGGGGTCTAAAAAGGAGGGAGGAAGGTGGGAGGGGGGGGGGGGGCATTCTGAGCAAAAAAGAGGAGGCTAAAGAGGTCTGAAAAATGGAAGGTGTGGGGGTTTGAAGGGGAGAGACAGGCTGTGTGTGTTTGGGGATCTGAAGATAAGAGATGATGCCTGGGAGGTCTGAGGAGAAGCGAGAAGACTAGGTCTAAAAAGGAGAGGTGATCTGGGGGGGGGGGGGGTCTGAGGTAAAGAGAGGAGGCTAATGGAGTCAAAGAAGGTCTGGAGGAGGTCTGGGAGGATTTGAAATGGAGTGAAATCTGGAGGTTCTGAGGAGGAAAAAGGTCTGGGGAAGGGTCTGAGGAGGAGATGGGATGTCTGGGGAATCTGACAAAGATAGAGGAGGTCTGGGGGGGTTTGACTATCCAGGCCTTTTTGCTTTTCAGAGCAAGAGGAGGGGGGAATAGGGGGGTGTCTGAGGAGAGAGGCGATCTGGGGAAAGTCTGAGGAGGATAGAGAGGGCTAAGGGGATCTGAGGAGGTGAGAGGTGGTCTGGGGAGGAGATGGGAGGTCTCAGGAGAATGGAGGTCTGGGGGCTCAGAGGAGAAGACGGTAGGTTGGGGAGTCTGAGGAGGAGAGGGGAGGTTTCGGTGGTCTGAGGAGTAAATTGGTGGTCTGGAGAGGGGTATGGGAAGTCTGA